GCTATTGCGAAAATATCGAAATTGTCGATATTATATCAATATGTATCGCCGGTTTAAATACCGATACAACTAAATATCAGTGAACAAAATATCAATATTGGCAATCACGAATATCATGTTTTTTTAGCAAAAAAATTATAACGCGTTCTTTGTGTAATTGTATTTTTAATTAATTTTATAAGCTTAATTACATTTACATTAAAATTTTTTTCGGAACTAAAATAAACAGTTATATTTTGTATAATAGATATACACACACAACAAAATTAGTGATTATAAAATAATAGCAAATTAGTAAGCTGTGCACAATTTACGAATGAAAATATCCGAAGTTTTACTTGTATCGAATATCGATACAATGTAAACTTAGCATCGATATTTCAAAATATCGAAGTCTGAAATATCGATATCTCAACTCAAAAATATTGATATTACGGAATATCGACGCTGTATCGTCACCCCTATAGTAAGCGCAAGTGAACGTTAGAGACGTAAACAAAGCGTGTGCAAGACGAAAGGCTCTAAAAAAAATGAAATTGTCCAAATACATTCATTTAACATATTCCCAAGAGAACTTAATAGACTTTTTAGTTGAACATCATTTATTAGTAGCTACAATGAATTGTGATAATTGTAAAGAAATTATAGATTTAAATGAAGAAACACTGCTATTTGTATGTAAAAAAAAAGCCACTACTGAAAAAGAAAGTAATAAAAAAAGCCTAAACGCAATATGCAATTTTAAGAGAAATGCCACAAAGGGAACGTGGTTTGATAGGCTCGACACAGATCTGCAAACAATATGCAGACTTACAGCATATTTTGTTATGGTGCCACGTACGCGGCAAAAATTTTTGCGTTATGAAACTGGTTTATCAGTACCTACAATTAATGAGTGGATAAAATATTGCAGAGAGGTAATGTGAATATATATATCTATAATTATATATAATATGTAATATATATATAAATATGTACAGTCTAAATTGTATACATTATATTAATATGATAGGTATGTGTATACTGGGCAAAAAAGCGCAGTCAAAAGCTTGGAGGTCCAGGAATGACTGTCGAAATCGACGGAGCAAAAATTGGCCGAAGGAAGGGTTGTGACGTGACTAAAAAGATTAAAGGTGACTGGATATATGGTGGCTTCGAACGGGAAACGAAAAGAATCTTTATTGTACCAGTAGAAGTTGGAACGAAAGAATCATTGTTAAAAACGATAAAGGAATGGATAAATCCTGGAACAAGTATCGTTACACATTTTTGGAAAACTTACAATTGTCTTAACGACAAAAGTTTCAAAAGCCTGAAGAGAAAGCATGCATATAAGTTCATTGATCCTAAAGCTGATAAGATAGAAGATGGTAAATATATAAATTTGAATTTCAATAATTATATCAAAGTATTATCGTATTTATTTTGATTTGTAGACACACATATTCGAGAGATTGAATCTTGCTGGAGAGAGGTTCGAGCACATATGCCAAGACCTGCGTCCTATTCTCTTCAATGTTTCAGTGAATATCTTTTTAAACGCGTGAATGAGTTAGATGTACGTATAGAAACGTTTTTTGATATTATTGCAGAAATGTATCCACCAAAACGTTGAATTGCAACATTACAAACGTTGCAGCAACATCGTGAAATATAGATTCCATGTCTTATAGATATTATAATTCAACATTGTTTCAACATTGATTCAATGTATGTGCAATGTAGATTTAATTGATTCAATATTTATTCAACGTCCATTCAACGTCTATTTAATGTATAAACAGAGATTAAATGTAGATTTAATGTCACATTAAGTACATTTCATATTTTCAAAAAACTGAATAAATCTGCACACAAAAATTAATCTTTAAATGGTGGGAAAAATTTTAGAAATAATATTGTTTTTTTTTTATTATTTAAAATTGATTCGTCATCTACCTTTTTAAAAAAAGTACTATTTATTTATAGATATAAAAGTATATTTTGACACACCAGAAGAATTTTAAATAATAAAAAAAGAATCAATATTATTTTTAAAATTAAATTTTCCCATAATTTAAAGAATAATTTTACGTATTTATTTTATTCAATTTTTTTAAAAATAAAAAATGTACATAATATAAATGTAATTTTAAATCTTCACAAAATTAAGAATTGTTTTATGTAATTGGTTTTGCTTTTATTGATAAAGTAAATGTGTGTGGTTGCATGTGCGTGTGTGTTTTCTTAAAACTTATATTTTGTGTATTGTATGATTATTATTATACTTATATTTCGTATATTTTGTAATTATAAAACTTTTTCTTCTCTTTAAAAATATTATATTATTATAACGCATCATTTGTAACTTAATCTAAAAATACCTAAATAATATCTAAAACTTAATTTATTTAATTATTGTGTATCTTTTACTTTTATTAATCACTTCGTCGCTAATCACAGCAAGTTTTCTAAACAAAAAAAGTTACTTATGTTGTAGCAACATACTTTGCAGCTAAATAGAAAAGGGTGAGTTTATACTATACATATATGACTATACATATATGAAGAGAAATATGTCCAGAATGTAACATTTTTTCATATAATAAGATTTTGTTTTCAGGCAGTATTTTCAACTATTTATAGTAATAATAATAAAATTGTGCGTGAACATTTTGTATGTCTTGATTACTCAATAAAATTATAAATACAATTATGAGATAATTTTATAGCGAGATTCGTTAAATCGTATACATGTACCAGACGAATATTTAAATTTTCCCGAAAACAAACCCCATATGAACAAACTCTATTTTACATTTTAAACTTATGCATTATACATAACTTCGAAAACCGGTTAATCACGTGCACGCTGCATGTACGTAATTTCATTCCGAAGAGATAATAAAAACTCAAGAATACTTAAAATAAAATATACGTACTTGATGTTTATTATTTCCTGCCGTTAATAATAACCTCACGATCGACCAGAGCCAGCAAAATTCAGTTGAATTCTACACACGGAGACACGAGACACGAGACAACAAACAGCGGACACACTAGACACGATCACGATGTGTATGTCTTGATTACTCAATAAAATTATAAATACAATTATGAGATAATTTTATAGCGAGATTCGTTAAATCGTATACATGTACCAGACGAATATTTAAATTTTCCCGAAAACAAACCCCATATGAACAAACTCTATTTTACATTTTAAACTTATGCATTATACATAACTTCGAAAACCGGTTAATCACGTGCACGCTGCATGTACGTAATTTCATTCCGAAGAGATAATAAAAACTCAAGAATACTTAAAATAAAATATACGTACTTGATGTTTATTATTTCCTGCCGTTAATAATAACCTCACGATCGACCAGAGCCAGCAAAATTCAGTTGAATTCTACACACGGAGACACGAGACACGAGACAACAAACAGCGGACACACTAGATACGATCACGATGGTACCATAGATGGTACCATATATATAAGGTCTGTTTTTAAGCAAGGACAAAAATCTGATTGGTCATGCGCATGAGCATACCCTTGTCTTTTTATCATGGATGGTACCATATATATAAGGTCTGTTTCTTATTCCTGCATTCTCTGAACTGGTGCACCCGGTGCAGTAAGTTGAAGTGAAATAAATAGAAAAATAAATATACGTTTGTTCCGATTCAACTTATTGCATCGACTACACCTGTTCAGAGAGTACAGAAATAAAAAAACTAATCTATGGTATAAAAATATAAGGGCTGCGTTCGGGGAGCGCACTATCAACGCTATTTGTGTCATACTATCCTTGTTTCACGTTTAATTGATGATGAAGATAGAATGACACAAATAGTGCTAATATCGTCTCTCCGAACCCACCCATAAGGTATTCCATTGCGCATAATGGCGTCAGACTAAACTAGAACAACCAATCAAATGCTTGCCCCAAAGTTAATGGAATGCAGTATGCACATTATAGCAAATAGCTGCATTTAGAGCCCATTCTACATTAAGCCGGTTCTACATTAGTTGCAAGCTGATCGCAAGTTCGTTGCGACAGCCAATATAAAGTATTGATTTCAAAATGCAAGCTGCAGATTGGCTGTCGCAACAAACTTACGATTGACTTGCAACTAATGTAGAACCGGCTTAATGTAGAATGGGCTTAGCAGAGAAAGCAGCTTTGCGACTGTTGTAAAATTCTTCAATATGATTGGTTTATACGTTTAGATCCGTAAGGAACCAAAAGCAAGAACCAACTGTATTGAAGAATTTTACAACAATAGCTTCAGATTGGCTGTCGCAACAAACTTACGATTGACTTGCAACTAATGTAGAACCGGCTTTAGACGCAAGCTGATTCTACATTAATCGCAGTGCAGCGTCGCAAGTGTGTCGCAAGCGTTGCGGTCCAATCAGAGTCGAACTGGCTTGATGTTTATTGGACAGCAACGCTTGCGATGCTGCGATGCGACTAATGTAGAACCAGCTTAATGTAGAATGGGCTTAGCAGAGAAAGCAGCTTTGCGACTGTTGTAAAATTTTTCAATATGATTGGTTTATACGTTTAGATCCGTAAGGAACCAAAAGCAAGAACCAACCGTATTGAAGAATTTTACAACAGTTGCAAAGCTGCTTCTCTGCTGAACGCTCCATTGGAGCGTAATTTTAAGTCGCTCTACCGCTCACTGAGGGCTGCATAACTTTACGGCCCAAACATAGCATAAGGAAATAATAAAACAGTAATAAATAAGTAAGAAATATGATATTAAAAATTATCTATAATAGACAAGAGTTATTCTACATTACGAATTATAAAAAATAAACAATCATAAATTAATCCCTTTTTTGCTAATGGCGGTTTTCTTTGCTGAACACATCCAATCATATTCCTTTCTACAATTTGGGGCAACTTGGAATATCTTATATTTTTCAGCCTGTTCTAGAATAGGATCGTAAGTTGTAAAGCTGACTTTTCATACGCAGCACGCTTTTGTCTCCAGGAATTTCTCCTATAATCCTATTGGACATTAGACGTCGTATGTCGGATGTTGTACGCTATGTGAAATATGAATCCTACATAAGGAACAGCCAAAAGTGAGAATACATGCATGTGAAGATACATTACTCCTTTCTTTGCTCTTCCGCACGTCGAACTATTTGTTTTTGGCCGTATTGACCCTCCTTTCTATTTCTCTGGAAGCAGGTGCCATTAATTCAAGAACCAGAAGACGTGCACGTATACTTGAAGAAGACGAAAGGTTACAAACGTATAGTGTATCTGAAAGGAATCGAAAAAGAAAAAAAAAATAGATTCTTGGACACGCGTCGAAATCTGAGGCTTCAAAATCTTGAAAAAAAAAAGAAGTCAGATCTGATTGTCAAATCAGATTGACAAATCGTCGCCGAGTATGGCCTTGTTGCGACGAGTCAAGCCAGCATACAGACTCTTCGACGAAGGTGTTATCTTTCTGCTTCGAGGTAACGCTGTTCCATCTTTCAGAACATTTAACTCTTCGACGGTATTCGCGAGACAACAACAACAGCAACAACAATCAGAGAGCAATAACGAAGTAAAGGAGAATAATAACGACAGCAGGCTTGGCGGTGACAAGAGACCGTCTATTGACGAGGAGACGATCAGGAGGCTCGAGAGGTTGGCGCTGGTCGGCTTCGAATTCAAGCAGAGCAAGCGAGTGCTGGAGGAAGCGATAACTTTTGCCGAGCGGCTGCGGACGGCCCACATTGACGAAACGGTACGTCCGATGTACAGCACCCTGGAGAACGATTATATTCATCTGCGAGACGACGTGGTGCGACACGACGTTGATCGGCGTGAGATATTGAGGAACGCCGCGGTGCTAGAAGAGGAATACTTTGTCGCGCCGCTGATGACGAGCAAGGAGAAAGAAAGTGAGTCTTAACAATGAGTCTGGAGGCTGTACTGAAGACTGTCGGGTCGCATTTCCTCAGTTTGTCTGAGCGGATATTCTTGTACGGACCCCAGGGCAAGCTGTTGCTGAGGAATCTCGAGGAACACTGGTTCTCTCACTGCGTCACAATGCCGCATTATAACGTGTTCCCATGTGACACAATCGCAGATACATTGCAGCAACTACGGAGCAACTCGATGGACATGCTGCCATTTGCACTTGTCACACTGGGGACATCCAAGAGCGTGTGGAACGAGTCTCTGCTGTCAGTGGGTAAGGTACCATCCCACAGAATCGCCAAGATTAACGTGTTTGTTGATGCATCGGACTCGAAGGATCTGCTGCATAAGAAGCAAAGAGAGCGCAAAGTATGGTGGCGCAAACTTGCTCAGCATCCCTCGAGATTCGTCCTCGCCGAGGCAAAGAAAACGAGGAATCTGGATGTGACGGAGATAGAGGCGCAGTTTCCTTTTGGAAATATCATCGTGGAAACAATCACTCATTATCCCGGCGTACGCAAGTTGTATCCTCAGGTATAACGCTTTCTTATTGAAATGTCGGTAGTATTATGAAAGACAGAGAGAGAATTATTTAAATGGGATATTTATTTACAGACTGAAAATAATAAAGATAATGTTATGGATGTGCATATGGTTGAGCATATCGCTTCCATGGATTGGGGCTGCTTGGCATTACTCTGTGATAGCCATATGCTGGATAAATCAACTAGAGCGTATATTCATCCTAAGTTATGCCCATACAAAATCACGTTCCACATAGGGAAACAGGAAAATGAGACTGATTCAGATATAGAAGACTTGAATCGCTTTGTGCTATACTTAAACAATATGCTTAGGACGAGAGGGATCTCTACCATATTGACAAATACAGAACAAATCATAGAAATGTGCCTAATACCGTACGTCGTGTCAGTGGATAAGACTAGTCTTAAGAATGGCGTTGTACATGTAAAAAATCGATCAACGACGCTTAGTGAGGCAGTTCACATTACTGACTTGGTAAAGTATATTAGTTTGCGTTCTTTTTGAATTACCGTAGTGGTAGTTCAAACTGGATTTTTCGATTAATGTTTATAAGATATTGCTATCATGTAACTATATTTAATTATTAACTATATTTATTACTGACAGTTACAACGATATAAACTGTAAATATAAATGAAAATTCTGGTTCTATGTTCTCTCCTCTTTTATCCCTATTTTGTTTCTGAATTTGAAGATAAGTAGCTAATTCGATCTTATGTGGTAATGTACATTTTTTTGAAATGAAGTACGCAAAATAAACCAGTAAAGGCAACTTAGATTTTCTGATTTCCTGAAAAGGAGATGCAACACATGGCATCGTACGAGGGATGATGGAAGGAAGGAAGAAAGTTTGTGGAAAGGGGATGCCAGACAATTCATACTTAGTGAAAACGTGCATCGTCTTGCACATTTCACAAGCCTCCCAGGATTTCCCGAATTTATCTCAAATTGGCGATGCCACAGAGATAGTTGAACAATTCTCCGATACAAGAGGATAATACTCTCAACTGAAGCTAAGCAGGTAGTTGTAGCTTCTTGCCTTTGAGTACTTTGGTAATATAGAGGTAGAAAAAGTCACAATAGAGAACTGTCTGCACCAATCCAGCAACTATAGCAATCAAGTCGTAATGATCTTCAGCATAGTAGCGGTAAACCCAGTTAAACAGGTACAGGCCTCTGTAGGATCCCAATGCGAACAAATAATGGCTGGTAATGCTTTCTGCCTCGCCCGTTTTCGATACCAGAAACAACTGCGGTAATATTGCCACTGACTCTAGATAAATGCTGAACGTCCATAAGACCTCGACAAAGGATAGTTCGTGATTTATCAGCAGTGCTAGTATAAATGCTGGTAAAATCAGGAACTCGATCCTGAAACAAGAAAGTTCATCGTCATCACATTCCCAATGAAAATACTAACTGAGGAATATATCATTTTAGGTCTCGTCTTTTTAACTAAACTTGCACCGTTCATCTTCTTTGATTTATGACTTATGAAACTTTATGATTTATGAAACTTCAATCTCAGTTCAATTTACTTTTTATCTTTTCCTAATTCTTAAAATTAAAAAAAGATGAAAAGCCAGTTGAATTGAGATTGAAATTACAATTACATTGATAGAAATAGACATTAGGTTTAGTTCCATCAATGTAAGATTAACTTTAATCAATTTAATTTACTATTTATCTATAATATTCAATTTAATTTACTATTTATCTATGATTGTTAGAATTAGAAAAAACTAAAGAATAAATTGAATCGAGATTAAAGTTAATTTTAACATTGGTGAAACTGGATGCTCATTTCTACCAATGTAGATCAATTTTTATTTTAGTTCAATTTACTTTTTATCTTTCTGATTCTGCGAACCAGATAAGAAATAAGTTAAACTGAGATTAAAGTTAATCTATGTTGGTAGAAATAGGCATTAAAGAGAGACAGAAAAGTCTGATTGATGGAAGTTATCTGTTACTTTTAGCTCAACTTGCAGTTTTTCTCGTTTTCTTTTCAATGTGAAAAGAAAAAGAAGATAAACCTTGCAAAGTTTAGCTAAAAAGAACAAGCTTTGTTTTGTCATAACTCATAAAGTTTAATACAACGTTTTTGTTCATAATTATAACAATTACATGAAAAACATCAAAATTATTATCTTGGAGTTTATTGGTTTTGGCTTCTATAAACCAGATTAAAAGGAGAAAAGATAAATCGTGCAAGAAGTTGAACTAAAAAGAACAGGCTTATTGACAGATTTTGGAGTACTCTTTCTTACCTGAACGTGTCATGATTATGATCGTACGTAGCTTTGAACTTAATATACATCAAGAAGACCGTGGCGAGAGATGCGGCGATGAACACGATTTTCATGAATGTGTTGTACGCCGAAATAAATGTGGTGAACAGATCTAGATAACGGGTAGTATAAACAATCGCGAAGAGGATCTGTGATTTGCCGCTGATACCTGTGAACGTTGAAACATCGATAATCACTGTCTGTTGAAGATGAGCCTTTATCAGCATTCGCTGATCACAATTTATTAAACTCGTCACGAACACTAGCGTTCCTTGAACGATATGATTAAGGCGATCCGACTCACCGGCGCAGCTCCGTGTCTTCCATATCTTTACGAGTAGTATGATAATGGCTAAAAGATGCGATAGATCGCCCAGCAATCGGAATATATTCATGTTTGCGGTCGCGGGGATGTGACTTTACGTAAAAAAAACCCGCGAGGGAAGATAAAGAGCCAGCTCGCAGCTCGTTCGACAGCGGCACACAAATATGACGTGGCTCTGGCTGTGGTTACAGCAGATGGCCGACCCCCCGGAATCAGATTGAACACTCCGGTCCCGATGTTGACATCGAGCCATTAGGAGAGCGAGAGAGACATCTGGAGAGGGAGCCTGCGTCGTGCGATTTTTTTGCCATGCGAATTGACGAATCTAGGGGCCGGTTTCACCAACGCCGATCATGTTTAATCGTAATTAACTGTCAACTGCAATTGGTCGATTGTACTAAACAGCAAACGCGATTGAGCAGTCAACGACCAATTAAGCTAACTGGCGTTAGTGAAACTGGCCCTAGAAATTCTGGAGCGAATTTAGTAATTTATCAGTTTGATCTAGTGGAGAAAGTATTGATGCGACTCACCGGCAAACCACGTTAGTCAAAAATTTTGCTTTGATTTGTGATTCGCCGATCGAATAATAGCGGTTTCCACTGGAAAAACTAGTCCAATATTGAATCTCTTTCACCAACCTTAAAATAAGTTAAACTTCGGTTAAAAGTTAAGCGGGGAGCACAGACTCTTGCATAACGCATAACACGTAATGCATAAGAATATGTACCAATCGAAGTTCTCCGTTTCTTTCCTTTCCATGTAATAGAGAACTCTGGTTGGTTTAATTTCTTATGCCTCATGTGTTATGCGTTATGCAAAAGTCTGTGCTCCCCGCTTTAATCATGAGTTGGACCTAAAATGAGCCCCATGAGGTTATCGCGACATCAAAGAACAGATATATAATTAAAAGAGTTAAATTATTTATTAACACTGAAAATGGGTATTAAATTCAATTACTCCAGTGTGCTCTAGTTTTTCAATGGAAAACGCTGTGCAATTAAATGCAAATCAATTCATATATTTTTAATGTTATTAATAAGTTTAACCCTTTAATTCTTCATTGTCACAATAATCTCTCTCTCTCTCTCTCTCTCTCTCTCTCTCTCAACCTTAAAAAAATTAAACTATTTATCGACGAAGTGGAAAAAGTACGAGCAACACAAACAGATCTATGGTCCGTTACGCTGTTCCTGCACTAGACTGTTCTAAAACTCTCTCGCTTTCGAGAAATATCAAACGTATATCTGTCTCACTTTAAGTTCCTAAAGTGTACACTAGTTCAGCCACAGAAACCAGACGGACCAGACGTCCAGACCTCTACATTTTCATCAACGATCAACCTCAGCTGCTCAGCATTGATCAGATCTCCAATTTAACCTCAAAGAAGAGTTATTTATTATTCGATTTGAGACCTCTGCTCTCCGAGGAGGTTATTCGTTGGATCATAAGATCCGTTATTTCTGCATAGTACTGTGACTCTAAATTTAAGTTGGAAAACCTCAATCAAGGGGAAACCAAAAGAAGAAGAACGATCAACCTCGTATCCCGCTCGAGCAGCGCGCATGTGCAACAGATTCGCTTCATAACACCAGTGGTGGGGCTCAACGTTTTTCTAACGGTAGTGGAACGGAGGGAACGGTGCCCGGTGGTGGAGGGCAGTGCAGAGCTGGGATTGCTGGGAAGTCATAAGTTCTGCTGACGCAGGTCATCAAGCAGGCGTTGGAAATGGTCGCAGGACTTTTGTGCGAGCTCCTGTAAACCACAGCAAAATGGCGACGTCCGACTCTAAAGCATCTTTGCGGACGGTGAAACGCGTTCAATTCGGGATTCTCTCGCCCGATGAGATTGTAAGTATGATAACTTGCAATACTTCCGAGGCAGAATTCGCGAGAAGTGGAACTCCTTCCAGGAATTACATGGCGCAATCTCGCCCAACGTCACGTATCTACTCGTAGCACATCGATCTCTCGCGGGTTTAAATGTACAAACGTAGCTTCCTCGACAGCTTTTACGTCGAAACATTTCTCGTAGATGTTATGGGACTTATGACAGTTGATTTCGTTGCTACCTGCGATGTCTAATATATAAAGAATTAAATTGCGCGTAGAATATTGATGATGTAGTATTAGTGCCTTTATGTGTATGTGACTGTCATACTTTTGTAATGTTAATTATTGAGAAGTATTACTAAAAATGAAATTATAGAAAATATATCGGGGAAGAAAATGCGAATGTATATAACGAATATAAGCGATTGTATTTATATTTAACGTGTTTATTTAATCACTACTTGTTTTGATTATAAGAAAACTGTATGATGCCAATGAAGATTTTTGAAGTACTTATATTTTTCATATGAGGCTTCCTCAAAATACCAATTACTTTGTTAATCTGATTTTACATTATCAAAATTTTCAAGCCTGTTTATATTGGCTACAGAATACAGAGATTTGTTAATTTCTGATACCTATTCTGTATATTTTTAAGCTTATTCTACAATGTGCTTTTTGTTTTCTGTTTCTCGCGTTCTGCTATTTTTTACATCTTGTCTTTTTGTTTCTTATCCGATTTTTTTGTTTTATGTTGCCTGAAATAAAAGTAAACGAACTTAGAAAGAAACAAGAAATACGTAGCAAGAAATTGTCGATAAAACAGTTGCAAAGGAGAAAAAAGCAAGAAACAGGAAACAAAGAGCACATTGTAGAATAGGCTTTAGCAACAGTGCCAATGTCGTTATATTTAGGCCTATTCTTTTTAGCTGAACTTATACATAGTTCATCCTTTTTCTTTTTATGTTGAAGAGAAAATATGTATACAAAATAATTTACATATATAAAAACATAAAATATACATAAAGAAGATAATATCAACTTATTTTCTCTGTATAGAATATATAGACAAT